TCAGATTGTCTTATTCAAGGCATGGCTAGTTATGTCAGTGACATTTAGATGGTTAAGTCCTTGACTGGAGGGGCCTTCTAACCTCTTCTAGAGACTGGCGAGGAGTTTGGATTGGGCATTGTGGGAAGTATTTTTTTTTTTCCAGAGCTGAGAACCGAACCCAGGGCCTTGCGTTTGCTAAGCAAGCGCTCTACCACTGAGCTAAATCCCCAACCCCGGGAAGTATTTTTTTAAGCCCACACTTCACACTATTTTATGTCTCTGACAAAGATGGTCCTAATTCTATCCCCTGTAAATATGACCTTAGTGATAAATAAGGTTGCTGTAAAGGATCAGGCTAAGAGGATTGTGCATCCTTACTAAAAGGAGAGATGGCTCAGTGGTTAAGAGCACTAGCTGCTCTTCCAGAGGTCCTAATTCAATTCCCAGCAACCACATGGTGGCTCATAATCATCTATAATGGGATCTGATGTCCTCTTCTGGGTGTACAGGCATACATGCAGACAGAGCACTCATACCTTAAAAAATACTTTAAAATAGAAAAAGATGGGTTTTTGTTTTTGTTTTGTTTTTAAAAAAAGGAGAAAGCTACAACACGGAGGCATGCACACCAGGAGTGTGCAGAGGTGAGAGCAGAAACTGGTGTGGTGCACTCCAAACTCAGGAACGCCAGATTTCATCAGGACTCTGGAGAGTGGCCTGTGGCAGGTTTTTCTTCAGAAGGAACCACTGCTACTGACTTGTGGACTCTGGAACTATGAAACAGTCAGTTTCTGTTGTTTGGGACACCCACTCTGTGGTACATTGTTACAGCAGCCCTAGCAAACTGACTAATCCGCATTGCAGTGATTCCTCATGGCCCCCAAATGAAGGGAAGTCAGCGGGTATCGCAACTCAGACGTGTTGGACACCGTTTCCCCAGTGTTCGTCACGCTGAGTGACTTCTTCGAGCTTGTTTGTTCGAGTACTTGGTTGCTGGTTTTCTCCTTAATTCTATATACTGACCCCTCATGTTTTCTTTCCTCTTAAACCATTTACAGTCAGTTTGAGACTCACTGTTCTTCAATATAACTTACAGTGGTCACCCCCACACCTCGATACAGGGAGATGATATTTCCACTTTAGGGGGGCTTGTTCTAGGAGAGAGAAAGTACAAAGTGAAAGAGATATCCCATAATTAATAGACTTGATTCTGAGGCGCCTCTGTGTTCGAGCAGTCACCGCCGGAAGAAACTCACTAGCAGAAAGTCCGGTGGGGGAAAAAAAAAACATTGGCCAAGGACTCCTTTTCCTACTTCAAATACCTAAAACGTTCCGCTGAGCAAGACACTTCTGAGCCATGATGTAACAACAGTATTTGAAAACCAAGTGGAAAAATCCACCGAGGAAAGAGAAGAGGAAAGCTAAAACGGAGTGGAACATGAGAGAGGGAACTGAAGTAGGAAAGCCTCATCAACATTTGGAAAACAGAAAGGTCAGGCTTGGGAGTCTACACCACCAAGCTCATCAATGAGCCGAAGCCAAGTGTGGTAGCATACACAAATTTCCAAAGCATGGACTTATTTGACAATATTCACACTGGAAAAAAATAATGTACATGGATAAAATACATATGATTTCACAGTAATAGTTACTTCTGGGGATGATATACAGCAGAAAAAGTAGAAGCGACTTTGGAAGCCCTGGGAGAGTGAAGGGCTTTGAGACGACTGTCGGTAAAGGCCTACGTTATCTAACAGTGGGTCTGATGTCCTAGTTTCTAACAGTGTCCTGACACTGTCAGAAAATCCGCGGACATTATCACCAAAGCGTCAGAATACTATCAAAATGTGGGTCGTCTATTAACTGCCATTTCCAAGAGGAAACAGCACTGTTTAGTCAGGGACCAAGTTCTCACTGCCGCATCCGCCCGGCTGCGGAGCCTGTAATCTTAAAATCTGCACCGCACCGCCTTTCTCTGTGCACGACATACTAAACTGCCAGTGCTACTGTCACCGAGAAAGAAAAGAGCGATTTCAGCTCTACAGCTAGAAACCCCTTTAAAAGAGCAAACAGCTAGAAGGTTCAGATGCCCATCTGAACCTCAAAGATTACATTTGGCTTGTAGGACAGCAAAGCTCTTCCCCAAAGCTCCGGGAGGAGGGGTAAATGGCAGCATTTAGCTTTTGTGACTGAACCGTGGGGGCCTTGGAACCCTTCCACTCACTTGAAAAACGGTCGCCCATCTGACATTAATAGAAAACGACCATTAAAAAGCTTTATGCCATTCTGTTCTCCTGCTTCTGGTCCCTGTTTGCCTTTGTTGCTGCTGGCATTTTATAAATTATGGATGCGCGTAGGTGCGGCTGTTCCCACGTTTCCTCTGTAGTGCCGCTCGCTCCCCGCGCCTGCCTCGCATCCTTCCTCTGAGCAATGGACCACGCAGCCCAGACCCCACATCAGTGTAATTAGCGCGCGGCACACGGCTCGAGTGTCAGGACTGCTTCCACTCACTGCCAACCTTCTGCCAGCCCCTGTCATTCACGCCAAAGTCTGCCAGGCGGGCGGCAAGGCCAGCAGCACGGCCTCCGCAGCAGGGAAGGGATGCTCAAGGTGCACATGGTCCTCTACTGCCAGCCTGGGTACTGAGACAGCACTGGGGTGTGACAGCGGCCTCACACAATGTCTGATCACAAAGTCAAACAAGGCAAAAAGACGGGATGGTGATATCTGCCCTTTAAGACCAGCGATAGAGAAATGGAGGAGGGGGTAGATGGAAGGAGGGTAGAAGTTTCCTGTATGTGTCTCTGTAGCTGGCATGGATTTTATGAGCCACGAGACATGTTTCCCAAGCTATGCACGGGTGAGTTGTGTGGTTTGGGTGGGAGTAGAGAATATTGGCTGTTCTATATTAAGGAGAAATTGTTTTTATTTAAACTAATTTTAATTTTTGAGACAGGATATCATGTACCTCAGGCTGCCCTCAAATTAGTTTATAGTTAAGGGTGAACTTGAACTTATGATGATCCTGGATTACAGATGTATACCACCACAACCAATTCATGCCATGCTGGAGAACTCAGGACTTCTTCATGCATGCTGCACAAATACTCTATCAACTTGAGCTATATTGCCACCCCTGGACTTTTTTATTGAAAAAAAAACCCCTAGGATCTGAATTATTTTAAAGCATACATGTTGTATCTATATTATATATCACCAAACCCATAATTTCATGTATATAAAATTATAAAAGTAGCTATGATCATGCATCCAATCTATTTTAAAGAGAACATTATAATTAAATTCTGTACCAGGGACACAGATAAAAGGTACACAATTGACATGGGATTTGGGAAGAGCTGCAAGAGGACCAGAACCTCAATTGTTGGAGTCTTGGGACTTTAAGAATAAGACCTTAGTGAAAGTAGAGGGTTTTCCAAAGTTACAATGGCTTCATGCATTCCAGAAAGGCCACTTCTTGGCTGCTGAGAGATGCATGGAACCCAGGTTAAGATCCTCAGGGTCCCACCAAAGCAGGGACCAGGTTTTATTCACCCCTGTACCCTAGGTAGGAGATCCTTAAAATTTTTTGTTAGGAAATCAATGAACTGTAGTTCACATTCTCCTTTTCTTCTCCCAGAAGGTGAACCTGGGCCCACAGGCATCACTGGACACATCCAAAATGACAAAACTGACGCAAAAACCCCGCATCTCCTGACTTGGGGTTCTGGTGAGGGTCCTGTTTATTCTCTAACCTTGAAACCACCTCGCTGTGTCTTCTTCTGTCTCTTGCTGACATCCACTGCAGAGAGCCACTTGGGGATTCCAGGGATGGGAAAAAGACTCAAGAAGAGTAGGAAAGGGCAGAAGAAGATGCCATTTGCCTTGGGCCCTCCTTTGTAACACTCCTGCCCACCCTCACCACAAGTACCAGTGGAAGGGCCATTCTGAGCAACCAGGGAGCTAGAAGGAGGGTGGTGACCTCCGAGCGGCTCTCTGTGACACCTGTCAGTCATCCCAGAGCAGAGAGGTGTACGGAGAGACTTCATTTCCTTGGCATGTGTGTATGAGACACACAAAGTTTACACAGGAGGCCCGTTCATGCTCTGTCTCTGGGGTTAATATTTAATTAGACAGTTTAAAATGTGTACCATTACTAGGGAGGCTGCCTTGGTGCTTGCCTCTTCCCTCTGGGATTCGGGGTTTAGACATAGAATTCCGAACCTTTCATGGTTCCCATGGCAACCTCACCACTGATGACTCTAAGATGAGCACAGGGGTCAGCAAAGGCACAGTGAACACCCCAGTGTAGAAGACTGAGAGTGCTCTTGAGCCATCTCCTCCAAGGGTTCAGCCAAAGGCCGTCTGACGGTGGCCAGTGTCACGGATCTCACTCTCCCAAAGGTAGTATGTCAATTCTGGACCACTTTGAGGGTGCCAGAGGCACTCTGTAGATTAAACTTAAGTCATTTGCTTCTAGGCTTGCGTTTAAAACTATGGCCATAGACACCAACTTGAATTTCTTTTCTTTTTTTTTCTGAAAAATTCCTCTTCTTTATAAGTTCTTAGCTGTCATTTTTTAAGCATTTATTAAATGTTCTTTTAGCCCTCCATCCCATGCAGAAATTGCAGCATAAGACTAGCCAAAATTTCTATTGGAAACAGGAACTCAACCCCACATTTATTTTGTTGCATAAATTTTTCTTTCAGTAAGCCATGTGCCATTGTTAGGAACTATGTATAAATGTTTAATTTGCGTGTCTCTTTACTTAAAACCTAGGAGGACTGACCCGAGAGGAAGCCATCATTGGTCATTTTTGGTTTGCTTATTTCTAGCTGACCTTTCAGAAGCTGGTACTCATTGAATTTACTTTCGTTCTCAACTCTATCCTGTTCTCAAACATGAGAAGGCTGCCTTTCAGTTTTCTGAGTTGGCAAACCCTGAGCAGGAGGAATGAGGACAGAGCCCTTAAACAGGCACGTGTGGACACTGTAGGACTTGGTGTGCTTGTCCATACCTTCTGTCCCACCTGATGTCAGCATATGGACAGCTCTGTGCCCAAGGTCAGCAGTCCACTCTAGGGCGTCCAGCCCCTTATCTGCTCTTCTCTCCTCCCCTTCCTTCAAAAACCCTGGGTAGGGGTTAAAGCTTCCAATAGCCGCCGCCATTGCCTGATGGACATAGAAGCCAGTGGATAAATGCCCAGCTTGCCAAAGGGAAAATCCAGCCAAGAAACGGTCTCCAGAGGGGCCCCAGGGAGGCTAAGGGCCAGCAGCACCTGTGGTGACTGCTCAAGAATGCTCCCCACCCCCTGGTGGCACTTCCTCCCTGCGTCTCTCTTCTTTACTGTAACTTCCCAAGGAAAATATCTGCACTCAAGTTTGTGTCTCGGTCACCATGGGTATCCAACTACAGGCATCAAGAGATAGGAAGATAACTGTTGATTTGATTTCCCTGCATCTCTCTAGGTAAGTGTTGCTTTCAAAACTGCGTCACACTTAAACTCCCACTGGGAAAATGAAACATAGAAAATACAGAAAGCTTGGGAAATAGCTGAAGAGAGACACGTAATTATAACAATTATAACCCTACTACTTTAATAAAAAAAATACTAGATGGCAGTTTTCTATGCTATAGTTTCAATATTTCTGGAACTTTTTTTCAGATATTTAAATGTTATTTTATGTGTATGAGTGGTTTTTTTTTTTTGCATGTATGTCTGTGTACCGCGTGTGTGTCTCCTGCCCAAGGAGGTTAGAAGTGGGCATTGGATTTCCTGGGATGGAAATTATGGATGGTTGTGAGCTGCCATATGGTACTGGGACTCAAACTCAGGTCCTTTGCAAGAGCAACATGTCCCTGCTGAGCATTCTCTCCAACCCCTGTGGAGCATACTCTAACATCAAGAGAGTTATACTGTTATACCATTCAATGCCTCCTTATCTCTTCAATGTTACAAAATTATATGAAGACCATTATTTTCTTTTTTTAATGACTTATTTATTTTTATTTTACATGCATTGGTGTTTTGCCTGCATATACGTCTGTGTGAGGGTGTCCGATCCACTAGAACTGAAGCTACAGACAGTTGTGAGCTGTTATCTGGGTGCTGGGAATTGAACCCAGGTCCTCTGGAAGAGCAGCCAGTGCTCTTACCTGCTGAGCCATTTCTCCAGCCCCCATTATTTCAAAAGTATTGTTCACTAATTATCTTTATCTGTCAGTCTCCCTAGGGACCCTCTCCACTATTTTCATATGGTTACTTGTGACCTGTTTCCGAGTGTTTAAGGTGGTCATTCCTACTGTGGTGGACTTTGAGTATTTAAGACATCTAAGGTTCCTCTTCATCCCTCTTTTCTGTGCTGCTGTTAGTCACGTAATAAACCTTGGCAATCTGTTTCAGGTGAAAGGGGATGAGGCAAATAACTCCAGACAAGTCACTTGTTCCATTAACTGGGCAAATTACAAACAGCACAGTTTAGCGGGGCTGTACAAACCACATATGTACCCGTAAACTTGCTATCTTTGTTGGAGATTTCCTTCAAGTTTATTCCATGTTGAGTAGTACTCCAGGGACTTCTGAAGGGGTGCCTTTTTTTTCTTTTTAATTTTTTTTTTTTTTTTTTTTTGGTTTTTCGAGACAGGGTTTCTCTGTGTAGCTTTGCACCTTTTCCTGGAACTCACTTGGTAGCCCAGGCTGGCCTCGAACTCACAGAGATCGGCCTGGCTCTGCCTCCCGAGTGCTGGGATTAAAGGCATGTGCCACAACGCCTAACTAAGGGATATACTTTTTATTCCTTCTACTGATCACAGACTCCAGAATATCTCATTTATTTATTTACTGACATCACCTTATTTTCTACTGGCTTTTAAATACTGTGCCAATGAATTCAGAGTAATTCAATAACAAACTTATTTTTTGCATTAAATGTAAAAAAAATCCTTTATATGTAATTTTCATAATATAATCTCTAAGCTAGCTACTATTATTTTTCTTTTTTTTTTTTTTTTTTTTTGGTTTTTCGAGACAGGGTTTCTCTGTGTAGCTTTGCGCCTTTCCTGGAACTCACTTGGTAGACCAGGCTGGCCTCGAACTCACAGAGATCCGCCTGGCTCTGCCTCCCGAGTGCTGGGATTAAAGGCGTGCGCCACCACCGCCCGGCCTATTATTTTTCTTATTAAATAAATAAAGAAATGGGAACTGTGAGAGGTTCAGTAATTCGCCCAGAATTACATAAAATAGAGAATAAAATGCAAACTCATTTTATGATTAAACTATTTTTACTAACAATTAAATATCAAGGTGTTGGGAATGTAGCTCATTTGTTTAGAGTGCTTGCCTAGCATACACAATGCCCTGGGTTCAATCCTACCACCAGGTATGGTTCCCATGAATATAATCTCAGCATTTGGAAGATAGAGGCAGAAGGAATAGGGGTTAAAAGCTGTCCTCAGCTACATATTTAGTTTGGAGTTAGCCTAGGCTACATAAGATCCTGAGGGGGGTTGTTTGTTTGTTTGTTTGTTTGTTTGTTTAAAAAGGAAAGGGAAGGAAGGAAGGAGGGAGGGAGGGAGGGAGGGAGGGAGGGAGGGAGCCAGGGAGGGAAAAAAGGGAGAATAGTTGAATATTAACTCCCAGGACTGGTTTTCTGAAGAAGTAGGAAAGTCATTTGTTTGCTATAACCCGTGGGATATTAACATGTCCCCCTCATGTCAAGGCTTTACCAATTGCTTTACACTACCTTGAGGCCTTGAGAAGCATGCCATCCAGCATTCATTCTTTTGAGCCATGTATTAACTGTACATAGTCCTTGTGAAAGAAAACCACCCATCCTGGTGGGGTTCCTTAAGGTATTTGCTTTCACGGACATGCCAGCCTTCCTTATGTTCTCAGGTTCCTTCACCCCACGCTTCTCAGTACTTGCTGCAACTATCATTATTCCTCCTGGGCAGCTGCTTCAACTTTCTGCCACCTGAACTTCAACTATGCCCTTGAAATGCTGATTCAATTTCTGCTGTACTGAACTGAGGCTCAGGTAGCCTTCAGAACCTAAACTGATCACTTTATAAGACCCACAAAAAAAGTTGAAGTATGGGATAAGTAAACTTGACTGTGAGTGTCTGAATGAAAAGGCAATTCTAAAATTTAATACACAAACAGAATAGTAGGCATGGTGGTAAACTCCTGTAATTCCAGCATGAGGGAGAGGAAGCAGGAGGATAAGAAACTTAAGGTCACTCTCAGGCATATAAGTTTGAGGTCACACTAGGCTGCATGAGATCCTGTCTCAAATAAACAAGCAAATACAACAACCAACAAACTTGAATAGGAAATAGCAAAAAGCATCTGAGGGGGGTGGGTGGTAAATTTTCTCTATGTGCTTGCTTCAGACTAACTTGATCAGTTCATTCCCAGGCCTTTCTTCCAGCTTCTAATAATTTATAGTTTCCTTGCTGAATTCCTACCCTACAAATTTTAGCCTCCATTTCTAGTGTAGAGTCCCCAGGCCAGGTGGGAACAGAATAGATATGAAATTGGGATCCAGCCAAGCAATTTGTTTCTCCTCAGCTGTCAGTATGAAGAAGGCAAGTAGACTCTGACATTTGACCTAAAGGAACAGGGTGAGAATGGTAGAGTCCAGGATGAAGGGCAGGAGGTTTCACATAGAAAGGAAGAAACATGACCTGCAAAAGAATAAAGCCTTTTAAATAGGTACCTATGGCATTATCTTGGGTAAAGACAGGAGCCACTGAGGCCCTTGGGGACACTGAGGCAGGCAGAGAATTCTCCCACATTTAGCAACAGAGTCAGCTATCAACTGAAAAATTATTCTCTTTGGATATTCTTAGAAGCAGAAACATTGAATCACATTATATTTATAGTGACAAAAATAATGAATTTATTGTTCATACACTTTTTGCTAGTGTTCAAAAAAGTTCATTGTTTTATTTAACCTCCCACAGTATCTATACAAGGTAATCATGGCCTTGACTTTCTGGATTGTATGTTGGTACATACCTTTCTTTTAGGAACCTTTCTTTTTTTTCCAGAGAAGAGAAAGGTAATTCATTCCAGGACTCCCTTGCAGCTAAGGTCTACATGTGCAATCAGCAAATTCTATGAAGTAGAAATACCCTGGCAAATCTCGGAGGCAGAAATGAACGGAAGTGTAGTTTTCTGTTTTCATCTGGCAAAAGTAAGTGTAGAGAGACTAGGGTTTCATCTGCAGCTTTCAAAGATACTGCTTGTGGCTTGAGGTCTCAGTAGTCTTATAACCAGACGACTTAAGAAGCAATGGAGGAATTCTGAAGTACAAATGGTAGCCAAAATGATATGTTCTAGCCCTCAGTTGCCCCATTTGCAAGTTGCTACTCCCTTACCATCTCTGCCATGGCAAAGGCAGTTGCTTCCCTGAGTTTTTACAGTACTTCATGAATTATTCCAAATGCCTAATCAAAAGCCCACACCTCAACCTTTCCAATAATTTTAGGGGTACCCAATTCCTAATGTTAAATAATCCCCTTGTGCTTCAAAGTTACTGGAGTGGCTTTTGTTTCCAGCACTGAAACTATTTTCTTTTTTTACACATGAAGAAATGAGGGTTGTAAAGAACCTAAGTAAGGGTTACACAGCTTATAAGATTCTATGCTTTGTTAGTCAAAAAGTGCTCCAGAATTGAGAAGAACTAGAGGGAAGAATTCATGGACTACATTTCTAATCCATCTGACAAATCAAAGCCAAGTTCACATGTGCTCTCTTCCCACTTTTCAACCCATGAGTTGCACTTGTTTGTGATTGCGGTAAGTGCTTAACTTAATTGGTTTGCATCCATGCCGGGACCTCTGGGATGCCAAGCACATAACTCATCCACAGGAGTTTGTCTTGCCAATAAGTACTTGCAGAGGCTCTCTCTCTCTCTCACTCAATAGCCACATTAAATGCAGAACTCTAGTTTCTGGAATTAGCTACCTACCTACCCTAAGTCTTCAGATCAAAGGATTTGAGGGGATAGAAATAGAAGTTGCTGACACATATTGAACATGTGACAGGAAGCATTCTGTCATTTTTACCTTGTCTTCCTTCTGGTATAACCATCATGACGACTCTGTAGGTAAGCATGATTATTACGCACCTCGTAAAGATCAGGACACTGAAGCACACCGATTG